TCAATCCTACTTGCATCCAATCCTTCCAGTTCTAGCAGCATGGCTTGGGAAGAGTATTCCCCAACCAGATTGTGTTGATGAGCTATTTTGAGAGACTAGACTACTATTTCCATAGGCAGAATTGCGTCATGGCCATATGTGAGAGCATAAGGGATCATGCCAGTTGCCTCTCTTTTTGATGTTCTAAAAAACTTGTTGAGCCAATTCTTAACAACTAAAATGAGTTATTAAAAACAGCAACTTTAATTCTCGCAAGTGCACGAACTGTTTATAGTATAACTTATGTAAATAGGAGGTCGATCCCACGGATAATGGTAACTTGGTTCTAAGTTAATTTACTTAGAATGCTAGAAAAACATAGAACAAAGAAACTGACTAACTAGCTAAAGGCAAAGTCTAATTCAACAATGCCTCTTGCTAATTACTCAGGGTCTAGGACAGAATCCTAGCACCACACATACACTCGAAATGGGGGGTTTTGTTGTTGAAATGAAAGAAGAAAGTGAAATGAAAGTGCTTAAAAGTAAACACTGGACAGATTGTGAAACAATAATTGAGAGGTGTTAGAGCCTTGGAATTCACCACTAGTTCTCCTATCCAAGTTATGAATGCATAGAAATTGATTCAAGCATCATCAACAATAGATTATCGCATACAAGCCTATGGTATCTAGGTGCAGGATGCATGATTCTCCTAAGGCATATAATTGCGCATGGTATCTACACAATACGTGATCTCTGATATGCAACCTAAGCATGGTATCTACTTAGAATAAAGCATACAAGAGTCATTAAGCTCTATGAGAATATGATAATCACACAAGTCCTAGAACATGGTATCTGTCCTAGTCAACCTATGATTATTAACCCCTTGAATGATTCTTAGGCCATTCATGTGTTGCTTGTGAAAGGAGAGTAGAATTGGTGAATCTAAACCCCTTCCCAACCTGTGCTAGATGCATAAAATCCTAGTTAGCTACTTCAAGAAAACATACATCAAGCACGTAATAAACTGGAGATCAACAACTTGATAATGAAAGCAAGGAAATCAATTAACTATAAAATCATCCATAACATTGAATATTCATGACTAGGGCTTCATCCTAAGCCCTAACTAAATGGATTAGTTAGATGTAACTATGAATAAAGAAAATAAGAAATACATAGACAGAATAAAGAGAAGAGAAGAACTAGCTGGCAGCAATGTAGTTCCCAGGATAGCTCCAAGCTCTCTTCTCTCTTTGTGGTGAATCTGAATGTGTGTATGAGAGTAATGGATGAAGTGAAAATGTGTATCTGACTCTCTCTATATCCCTCTTGAATGAGTGTGCACCTCTCTATATATAGAGTGCAATTTCGTCCTCCCCTTTGGCTGGTGAAGCACACCTCTCTTAGCTGCTCCCAACTGCTCCAGCTGCCCATACTTGCCAACTGCTCCAGCTGACAAGTACATGCTTTGGTACGATTTCTTTATGGAAAACTTGACTTTTGTTCATCCATCTGAGTTCCTGAGCTAATTTGACTCCCATGTGTGGCTGCCTATACTTAGCACATGGCTCTAGGGATGTAGACACATTAAATGTGATGGCAGCCAACATGACATTTCTGTGAACTTGGTTCAGTCTTTGACGTGCTGAGGGCTCCAGCTTTATCCAATTGGTCTGAAATTGGGATATATTATAATAGACACCCATTGGAATAACTTCTATCAAGGATGTCCCCTCATCCGACCTGTGAAAGTTGCTGAAATGAGGCCTGCAAGATGACCTACGAAACTGGACTGACAAGGAGTGTGGCTCAAATTGGTTTCGTCTTTAAGCTCATATTCCTCTTGTGTCACTCAGCCCTTAACATTCATGAATTGTATCAAATGTTATCCCCTTGCTGTCTTAACCTACAAAACACACAAACATAGGTGAGACACAAAATAAAGAGAAGCTAAACAAAATCACTAAGTAAAGATGGCATGCGAATGTATGAAATTATGAACTTATCAATATGCCCATAGAGTTTCTAACAACTTCTCATGCCATTGCTTTGGATTTTTCTCAAGAATTTTCCTGATAATGTTGATGATTACCTTGTTACTGGATTCTGCCTGTCCATTAGCTTGAGCATAGTAAGGGGTGGATTGGAGTAGCTTAAATTTGAATGCCTCTGCCATATCCAGCATTTCTTCGGATATGAAAGAAGATCCTCGGTCAGTTGTGATTGATTCTGGAATGCCAAACCTTTGTATAATCTGCTCTTCTATGAAGGTGATGATCTCTTGGGATGTAGTGGATTTAACAGGCTTGGCTTCCACCCCGATAACTCATATATTTATACATTTATACCATCCATTTATAGTCTATTTGTGATTTTTTTGAGTTAAACTTGTGTGTTTTACCCTATTTTGTGTTAGTATGCAGTTGCATCTACTTTAGGATCAAGTTGAAGGCAAAAGAAATGAAAACATGCCATTTTTGAGCTGACCCTTGTTCAAACGTGGAAACAAGTTTCGTTACCTGTTTTGAAGTCCAAGTAAAGAATCCAAGGCGAACCTGGCTTGTTTGAAGATAAGAGCAGAATGGGAAAGCAATGGGAATTTCTAGCCTGATTTGGAGATGCCAAATAAGGGAAAAACGTGCAAAATAAAGGCTGATTTGTTAGGATCTCTTTGGAATATCTTGCAGCCTCTTTTACCCCATAAAAACTTGCCTTTTAGACACTTTTACAGACCCTATTTATTTTGGACGAATTTCACAACCCTAGGGGACTACTCTCTTTTTGGTTATTCTCTCCTTTCATACACACTAAAACCCTAGCCGTCTATATCTTTCCACCATCAGGACTCATCGCAGGAGGCTGTTCTTGAAGAAGTTCAACATCAGAATTGGTTCAAGGGTTTCCTCTCATGAATTTATTTTCACTCATGTTGTTTATTTTCATTTTATTCTCTGTGAACATGATGTGTAACTAAATTCATACCTAAGGATTTCGATATAGCCTTGCAACATTGATCCATGTTTCTAAGTTAAAGTATTCAGTTCATCAATCTGCTTCTTGTTTCATTCACTGAAGCTATTGTTACATTTTTTTGTCAATTGTAATGTTTGATCACCATTAGGGTTGCCTACAGATTATCTGGACAAGGTTATAGTAAACATCATGTTTAATCTTGATAGACATGTGAATGAATGAAGAGAATGCTTTGCAAACATCCTGCCGTGTGTTTTCTTGGATGCTAATGACTCTTAACTTGGAACCAAAGTTGAACATCCCAATTAGGTTGCAGATTAGGAGAATTTGATCAAAACCACACATCATATGGCTGATCAAATATATGTAAAACGAACTCTGGAAACAGGTTGGTAGTTGAATACGATTTAACTTTGTAAACATGGAATTGGTTTTTGCATTGGTGAATTCGAAATCCCTGGTCTCATCCCTATTCTTCCTACATCAACATCTTATTCACTGCTACATTCTTCTTTCATTTTAAGTTAATTTTTCATTTACAACACAAACTACTCTCAATTTGTCACTCTCATTTTTAGTTAGGGTTTTGTCAAAACTAGTAATTTATAGAGGTCCAATCGGTCCCTGTGGTTCGACACCCTTACTTGTACCCTTATACTAACCATATATTGACACTCGGAAGGAACATAACAAAATTTTGGCACCGTTGCCGGGGACTGATTTCAGTCCTCTAAGTTCTCAAACCCTAATTTCGTTTTATTTTTGTTTCTCAGGTAGTATATGTCAGGTACACTTGCTGAAATAGGCCAAAGACTTCGACGGTTAAAGAGTAACACTTTTGAGAATTCTGTATCAACTAGTGCCCAGACTAGTCGTGTAGAAGAGGACAATAGTTCTTCTAGCCCAGCGAGTGTAGATTCTTTCAATAACTCTACCTCTGATGGAGAAGAAAAGATGGCTGGCAATAATGATGACAACCGAGCTTTGGAAGATTATGCTCAACCGGTTATACCAAATTCACCTTCATGCATCTTGCTGCCTACTAAAGCTAGAAATTATGAACTCAATTCTTCTCATTTTCACATGCTTCCTTCTTTTTATGTTTAACCTAATGAAGATCCATTATCCCATATTAAGGAATTCTACAATGTTGTGAGTGGTTTACCTTTGCAGGGAGTAAGTGAAGCAAATCTGAGGATGAGGGTTTTTCCTTATACATTGAAAGATAGAGCAAAGAATTAGCTAATGACTTTAGCACCTGGTTCGCTCACCACTTGGGATGCCGTAGCTAAGAAATTTTTGGAGCAGTTTTTCTCTACTCAAAAGACAGCTACTTTGAGAGGGCAAAACTTCAACTTTAAACAAGATGATGGAGAACCTTTCAATGAATGTTGGGAGAGTTTAAAAGGCCTGTTGCTGCAATGTCCACATCATAGGTTACCTCTTTACTTACAAATGCAAATTTTTTATGATGGACTAACCCAAACATGTCAATCAACTGTGGATAATGCAGCAGGTGGAGCTTTGAAGAAGAAGAATGCTCAAGAGTCATATAACATCTATGAGATGTTGGGATCTAATGCTCAACACAAAGATACAAGAGGTAAATGAGTTTGAATGTATGAAATAAGTTCTAATAATGATCTTGCCTTGCAGGTGGCTAGTTTGGAAAAGAAGCTCGATTCTATGCTCAATATGGCGCCTAAGATAGCTAAGGTGTGTGCCATTTGCAACATACCAGGTCATCCTACTTATCAATGCTCAGCTAGTAAGGCTTATCCTGAATTCGTTCAAGAGCAAGTGAATTTCATGAATTCTTATAATCAAAGGCCAAGGAATGACCCGTTCTCTAATACATATAACCCTGGTTGGAGAGATCATCTCAATCTCTCATGGAAGAATAACAATCAATTTCAAAATTTACAACCAAAGCCTGCCACTACGCTTGAAGATACTGTCAAAATGCTGGCTCAGAACACCGTTCAATTCTAGCAAACTACCAATAGTACTCTCCAACAACATTCAGCTGCTCTAACCAAAATGGAGACACAATTAGGTCAGATTGTTGATGCTTTGAGTCAAAGAGAACTCGAGAAATTTCCAAGCCAACCGGTGATACTTCAAAGGAACCAAGAGCAGGCCAAAGCGGTCATAACACTTAGAAGTGGTAAGGTTATTAATATACAAATTTATAAATAAACCCAATCCTAGACATGTATTTATAGAAAAACCCAAGCACTATTTAAACATAGAAACACACCCAAAATCAACCTTAAAGTCAACTTTTTGGGTGTGTTTATAAATGGATTTTGAGTGTGTGTAATGATGGGTTTTGGGTGTGTTTATATGTTTAAATAGTGCTTGGGTTTTTTTTATAATTTAAGCCCCCATTTTGGGTGTTTTAGTGAAACTCCCTTATTAATAATGGAGTTGGCAATGAAGTTACTAATGAATCTGATCATGTGAATGCAGGCCCCACTCAAGAAGAGATTGAGAAACCGAATGAAGATCCAAGCAATGCTACTTCTTCGTATGAAGCTCCAAATTTTCACAAGGCTGAAAAACCTTACACTCCGCCAATCTCATTTCCAGGAAGACTTGCCAAAAGCAAGCAGGATAAGTCATTTAAAGAAATTTTTGATATTTTAAGTAAAGTGAATGTTAATTTACCTTTGCTTGATGTCATTAGGAATATGCTAGTGTATGGGAAATTTTTCAAGGAGCTGAACACTTATAAAAGGAAGTATAGACCTAATGAGAAGGTGATGGTGTCTGAAAATGTGAGTGCTGTGCTTCAAAGAAAGCTCTCACTAAAACTCAAGGATCCGGGCAGTTTTTCTATCAATATCACCATTGGAGACAACCTAGTTGAAAAGGCTATGCTTAACTTGGGGGCTAGCATCAACTTAATGCCCTATTCAGTGTACCTTCAATTAGGTTTGGGGGGTTTGAAGGCAACAACTATTTAAGAGGTATAGTGGAAGATATCTTAGTTCAAGTTGACAAACTAATTTTGCCTGCAGATTTTGTAGTGTTGGACATGGAAGAGGCTCCTATACATGATCATGAGTTACCTATTTTGCTTAGGAGACCCTTTATGGCCACGGCAAAGACTATCATAGATGTGCAAAATGGTCTCCTCACCATGACTGTGCTAGGAAAAACTATACAATTCAAAGTGTTTGAATCTCTTTCTCACCCTTCTACTTCACTTGATTGTTGTTCGATTGATGTGCTTGATTCACTGGTTTTCTCTAAGTTTTTGCTGGCACAATCCAATGATCCATTACAATATGTTTTGAGTCAATCTCAAAATAACTTTGATGAAGAAGTGCTCATGGAGATGGTGGCTGCCTTGGTAGCATTAAAACCATATCCCTCCACTTTTTCACCTCTTATAGAGCCATTAGGACCATCTGCCACACATCTGATCCCTTCTGTTGCTAAACCTCCAAAACTTGAGCTTAAACCACTTCCATCACATCTAAAATATGCTTACCTAGCTGAGTTTGAAACTCTCCCAGTTATCATAGTATTTGACCTCACCCCTTTGGAAGAAGATAAACTAATTATGGTGCTAAAAGAGTTCAAATCAGCCATTGGTTGGTCTATTGCAAATATCAAGGGAATAAGCCCTACTATGTGCATGCATTGAATTTTATTGGAGGAGGGAGTGAAACCAACTCGTGAACCACAAAGAAGGCTCAATCCACACATGAAGGAAGTAGTGAAAGCTGAAGTGTTGAAGTTGCTAGATGTGGGAATCATATACCCGATTTCTGATAGCAAATGGGTCAGTGCTGTTCACATAGTCCTAAGAGGATTGGAATCACAGTGGTAAAAAATGAACATAAAGAGCTTGTTCAAACAAGACCTGCAGCTAGTTGGTGTGTTTGCACCGATTACAGGAAGTTGAATTCAGACACTAGAAAAGATTTTTTTCCTATGCCTTTTATTGATCAAAAGCTTGAGCGATTAGCTGGTCACGCATATTATTGTTTTCTTGATGGATATTCTGGTTATAATCAAATTGCGATTGCTCCGAAAGATCAAGAGAAGACTACATTTACATGTCCTTTTGGCATTTTTGCATATAGGAGGATGCCGTTTGGCCTTTGCAATGCCCCAGCAACATTCCAAAGATGTATGCTGGCAATCTTTTCAGATATGATTGAGAGATTTATTGAGGTTTTTGTTGACCAAGAAAGATGCTAAACCACGTTTGATCAGATGGATACTCTTGTTACAAGAGTTTGACCTAGAAATTCGAGACAAGAAAGGGAGTGAAAATGTTGTTGCTGATCATTTGTCGCGCCCTGTTGATGAAGACCATGGAGATGGACAAATTTTGCCTCTCAACAAATCATTTCCGGATGAACAACTCTTTGTCATTCAAGATAAAGAGCCATGGTATGCTAATTTTGTCAATTATCTTGCTTCTAGTGTAATTAGAGATGATTTGACTTTTCAGGAGAGAAAGAAGTTCTTTTCAATTGTGAAACACTACATGTGGGATGAGCCCTATTTGTTCAAGTATTGCCCTGACCAAATCATTCGAAGATGTGTTCCAGAGAGTGAGCAGCAAAGCATACTAACATTCAGTCATGCATTGGCATGCGGAGGTCATTTCAGTGCCAAAAAGACAGCTTTAAAGGTTTTACAATCTGGTTTCTTTTGGCCTACATTGTTTAAAGATGCTTTTGATTTTTGCTCTAAGTGTGATAGGTGTCAGAAAATGGGGAGCATCAGTCGCAGGAATGAAATGCCATTAAACAACATTTTAGTGGTAGAGCTGTTCGATGTATGGGGAATTGACTTCATGGGACCATTCCCATCTTCTTTTGGATACATATACATACTAGTGGCAGTAGATTATGTATCAAAATGGGTTGAGGCAACATCTACACGAACTAATGATCACAAAGTAGTTTTGAATTTTCTCAAAGATAGGATTTTCACTAGGTTTGGAACTCCAAGAGCTATCATTAGCGATGGTGGCAGTCACTTCCGCAACAAACCTTTCGAGGCATTGATGAAGAGGTACAACATCACACATAAAGTGGCAACTCCATACCATCCTCAAACCTCTAGACAAGTGGAAATCAGCAATAAAGAAATAAAGAACATCTTGATGAAAACCGTCAACCCTATAAGGAAGGATTGGTCACTAAGGTTGAATGATGCACTTTGGGCATATCGAACAGCGTACAAGACCCCAATTGGAATAAGCCCTTATCGATTGGTGTTTGGAAAGGCATGTCATTTGCCAATGGAGCTCGAGCACCGTGCATATTGGACCATAAAGAAGTTCAATTTTGATCTCAAAGAAGCTGGTATAGTGAGGAATCTCCAACTCAATGAGTTGGAAGAGCTCAGACATGAATCATATGAGAATGCAAGGATCTACAAAGAACGAACCAAGCTCTACCATGACAAAGCAATTCTTAGGAAGGAGTTTCAACCAGGTATGAAAGTACTTTTGTATGACTCACGTTTGCGACTTTTTCCAGGTAAATTGAAGTCTAGATGGGTTGGACCATTCAAAGTGCTTCAAGTATTTCCCCATGGAGCTATGGAGATAGAAAACATCAAGAATGGGACCCGTTTTAAGGTCAATGGACAGCGTTTGAAGCCTTATTTGGAGAATGTTTCACAGGAGCAGGTTTATGTAGTTATGGATTCTCTCGAGTTTATGACAACTTAGACACACTACCATGTCTTGCCTAGACATTAAATAAAGCGCTTGCTAGGAGGCAACCTAGCTGGGTTTGTGTTATTTCCTTTTATTTGTGTTAGTTTTTAGTTTTTATTTTATTTCATTCCATACACACTGTGCCAATCTGCATTGCATCCATTCCATTCATTTTTTTTAAAGCATCAAGGACAATACTTAGTTTAGGTTTGGGGGTGTGGGATTTTCGTTTGTTTTTAGTTCTGGTCAAAGTTTGCTTTTGCTTACTAATGTGAATGTATATGAGGGCTATGGTTTACAATGAGGACTACTGTGTTTTCATGAAAAAGTTCGTACCATTATTTTTTTTCAATGCTGTTACTCTTGGAATCATGGTGATTAAAGTATTATGCTCAAATTTTGGAAGAAGAATTGTGGAGACTACCCTAGTGAGTGATTTTGAGCCTATTTACTTCTTTGAGAGGGTTTAAAGTGTTTGTACTCCTATCTTTTTACTTCAATTTCATTTCAAATGATCTCATTATTTTTGTTTGATTGAACGCTAAGAATTGTTTTCTTTCGCAGATACCATGCCTTTGGTAACACTCGTGAATGAACTCATTGAGACGATGTTAGGCTATGCATGTCTTAACCACCAAAAGGCCTAATTTCTTACCTTTATGTGTGTGCCGTTACCCCATTTTGAAGCCAATCATTTTTAGCCATTTTCTTTTCTCACCTTTTTTCGCCCATATCCTTTTATCTCAATATGAGATATTTAGCCCATTACAGCTATACCCTATAGTTTGGGGAATACCAAAGTGATGAAGACAAAGATAATTCGAGCTCTACATCAAGAAAGTGGCAAGTACTGAGGTATGTGTGCTGGAATTGTAGAAAAAAGAAAGAAAAAAGAAACAAAGTTTTAGAAAAAGAATCAAAGAGGATGTAATTTCTAAATCCTTCCATTATCACACAGGTCCTGGATGCCACGAACAACAAATATCAATTCAAGAGGAGAGCTTGCTGCTTTCACAAGGAAGACACTTTGGTATGTCCCAAGCTTTAGTATTTCCTATCCTTTCTTTCATAGCCCCTAACCTAAGCCTTACATTACAAACCTTGTTAAAGACCTAGCTGATCTTTGAAGATGTATTCATGGGTGCTACCAAGTATGTGTGCTATCCATATTCTTAGTGTTTGATTCCTTTCATGAGATCTGTCCAGAAATTGTGTTTTAATTTCATATTTCATATGTGAGGATTTTGATTCCCTTTTACATAACTTCACTCACATATGGTCAAGGAGAGACCACACCTTAGGATCTGAGTGAAAATTTGAGTGATATCTGTGAGGACTAGAGTTGAGGCAATTTCTATCTTTGGAATTTGAGTATGGTGACTTTGAAGTCATGGGACATGGATTAATTATTTCTTTTTACACTATACTTATGATGTGAATCTTTGAAGTAGCAGACTAGTGGTTCGAATGTATGACTAAGCCTCCATTGGTTCTTATTAGTTTGCTATAAGTCTGCTTTAACCAATTTGCTTGCATGTATGCAGATGTTTGTGGGCGTCATCACTGTAAACCCTCAAGAGACACAACTCCTCCTACTAGGGACACCTAGGGGTTTAAAGGCTTGTTGCACATGCTCAGTGCAATCATTTAACCAGCGAAAGTGGTCTAATTAGATTTTATTGTCCTATGTGTTTTTAGTTTCAGTTTTGCTCGAGGACTACAATGATAAAACAATATATGATTAGCTATTTTTAGTTCCTGCTTTGAGCAATCTTTCTATTTCTTCCTTGACCTTCAGTTCTGTATTCATGGACATCCTTCTTCTGGCCTGTTTGACTAGAAGGTAACCTTCTTTAATTGGGAGCTTGTGTTTCACCAGCTTTCTGTCTAATCCAAGCATTTCATGGTAATGCCAAGCAAAACAATCTCTAAAATCATGCAAAAGTGCAATGATCTCACTCTTGAGTGGTTCTTCCAATAATGCACTAATGAAAGTGGGTCTTGGTTCCTCTTCCGTTCCTAAGTTTATTTCCTGCAGTGGATCTTCTACTTCTGGTAGAGAATTATCTAGTCCTGCTGGTGCAAAATCTAGTACTTCCTCCTGCAAACTCTCTTCTTGTTCTTCAGTGCTCTCACAGGTGAATTCTGCCATATTGATGGTTGGATCTTGCATAAAGAGCTTCCTTTCTTCCCAATATACCAACAATATTTTTGTAATGGATCGAATTGTTGCAGCTCTATCCTTCTCTTGTTGATTGGGACTAAACATCAGAGTTCTAGAGGTTTAAAACAAAAGGTCTATTCCAATCCTCTAGAGAATTGGCTAAACCATCTTCAATGAGTCTCTGGGCTGTGACACCATGGGGGCGGCCGTTCTAGTTGACTCCAAGGAAGGTGAAAGACCCAAGGTCATCATGGTAATACCTTACTTCAAAACACATGGCAGAGGGCAGAAATGGTCGTGGGTCGGCCTCTACTACCTCCATATAACCTTCTTCATTCCAAAGGGCTAATTGTTGATGCAGGGTGAAGGGAACACATAAGCTTTGGTGAATCCAGTCCCTACCAAGCAATGCATTGTAAGTGGTAGAAGTGGTGTCCACCACAAAGAATGCAATCTTCAATTCTTTGGTTCCAACTATGACATCCACATCCAGATCCAGGATTCCATAAGTCTTAGTGATGCCCCTAGCAAAATTGGTAACAGTCAAGCGTTTTGGAATAAAATCCTTCTATGTTCTGCCCATCTTACTTAGCAATCTGTGGGGTAGAAGATTAATGGCTGCACCTCCATCTACCATGACCTTGGGAATAGGAATACCCCTAAAATTTGCAGTTATGAACAGAGATGTGAGGTGATTGGCCATCTCTTTGGTTGGCTTGGAGAAGCAAAGCTATTCCACAGCCAGTTTCATGGCTGTTCCACCTGTCTTGGCAATAGGTGTTTGCTATTCCGGTACCTC